TATCTCTCCCTTTCTCTCATCCTCTCTCTCTTCCTCTCACTTTCTCTCTCTTCCTCTCTCTCTCTCTCTCCTCTCTCTCTTCCTCTTCTTTTCTCTCTCTCCTCCCTTGTCACTCCCCCCTCTCTCTTACCTTTTCCCTCTCTCTCACTTTCTCCCCCTTTTTACCCTTCTTTTCCCCTCTTTCTAGGCTCCCCTTCTCTCTCTCCCTCTCACTTTCTCCCCCTTTTTCTTTTTTTCTTTCTCTCTCTCTTTCACTAAAAAAAAAAATGGTTGGGACTCGCAGGAATCAGGGAACAGATGACAATGGTACTGGTAGGGAGGAATGGATGGAGGAACAGTGGAAAAGGATAGAGCAAGAATGGGAGAGAAAATTAGGAGAGCTTTCTGAAAAAAATGAGAAAGAGCTCTCTGTGAAATGGGAAAAGAGGTTGGAGAAGGAGACGAAGAATTGGGAGGCACAAGTCGAAACTGCAGTAGCCAGGGTAAAGGTTCTAGAATTTGAGGTAAACAGGCTGAAGCAAGTCTCAGGGGTAGTAACCAGAGAAGACATACCATACGAAGCTGAGAGGCTGAACAGGAAGGAAGGAGATTTGAATTATGCTAAGGTCATATAAGCCTGCAAAGAAGGGCCAGGGAGTGAAAGGGAAGAGCAGATGGGTGCAGATAGAGAGGGAGATAGGTCGAATGCTGAGGCACAACCATGCTACCAAGAGCCAATGGAAAAAATCAAGGGAGAAAATGACCACATCAGACAGGAACCAGAGTCACAGAGGGAGAGGCAATGGGAGGAGGAAAGGGCAAAATCAGTGTTTATCCATGGGCTTCGGGAGATAGAGGAAAGGACACACACTGAAAGACGGCAGGAAGAAAGAAAGGAGATTGAGAAAATCATCACGGAAATAGGGGGAGAAGACATGGATGAGATTGTAAATTTCAGAGAATAGGGGGGTACTTGAAGGGAGAAAACCGACCGATCAAGCTGATTCTCAGGACAGAAGCAGTGCGGAACAGGATCCTCCAAGAGAAACCACGGTTGAAAAGCTCGGAAGAGTACAAGAAGTGTTTCCTAACAGAGACAGAACACGAACAGAGAGACAGCAGCTGAGGGAGAGGACAAAATAGCGAAAGGAGCTAGGAAAGGAGACAAGGATGGAATCAGCAGAGGTCAGTCAGAGCAGAACAGAGCAGCAAGGCAAGCACACACACAACTATCCTCAGAACCCCACAACCTATCACACCATCCCAACACACAATACAATCCATACCCACAGCTTCCACCCAACCCCCAACCATAGAATCCCACAGTATGCTACCAGGTCTCCCACCCCCACAGGCCCCCCAAACCACAGTGTTGGAAAGGAAACTGAAGGTATGGTACACAAACGCTGATGGAATAACAAACATGTGGGAGGAGTGGCACGAAAGAGTCAAAGAGGCATCACCAGACATCATAGCGATCACAGAAACCAAGCTTACAGGTATGATAACAGATGCCATCTTTCCAGTGGGATACCAGATCCTGAGAAAAGACAGAAGGAACAGGGGGGGGGGTGGAGGAGTGGCATTGCTGATCAAACACCGATGGAATTTTGATGAGCTGGAGAGAGGAGACAGCGGAGAAGAAAGTGATTACATAGCGGGAACGCTTCACTCTGGTGGTCCCAAGGTGATAATTGCAGTGATGTATAACCCACCACAGAACAGCAGGAGGCCAAGGCAAGAGTATGACGAGAGCAATAGAGCGATGGTTGACACACTGGCTGCAGTGGCCAGAAGAGCTCATGCATACAGGGCAAAGCTACTGATCATGGGTGACTTTAACCACAAGGAGATCGACTGGAGAAACTTGGAGCCACATGGGGGCCAAGTACATGGAGGGCTAAGATGATGGAGGTGGTATTGGAAAAATCTATGTACCAACACGTAAGGGACACTACAAGAGAGAGAGGAGTAGGATGAACCAGCAAGACTGGACTTAGTATTCACCTTGAGTAGTGCAGATATTGAGGACATCACATATGAAAGACCCCTTGGGGCCAGCGATCATGTGGTTTTGAGCCTCGAATACACAGTAGAGCTACAAGTGGAGGGGGAAGCAGGAAGGCCAGGACAAATGAAACCAAACTACAGGAAAGGGGACTACACAGGAATGAGGAACTTCCTGAATGAGGTTCAGTGGGACAGAGAACTGGCAGGGAAGCCAGTTAATGAGATGATGGAATATGTAGCAACAATGTGCAAGGAGGCTGAGGAGAGGTTTATACCCAAGGGTAACAGGAATAATGAAAAAGCCAGGATGAGCCCATGGTTCACCCAAAGATGCAAGGAGGCAAAAACCAAGTGTGCTAGGAGGAGAGACAACAAGAAATGACCGTGAAGTATGTGAGGAACTCAACAAGAGATTCAAAGAAGTGTTCACAGAGGAGACAGAAGGGGCTCCAGAAAGATGGAGAGGTGGGGTACACCACCATGTGCTGGACACAGTACACACAACTGAGGAAGAAATGAAGAGGCTTCTGAGTGAGCTAGATACCTCAAAGGCAATGGGGCCAGATAACATCTCTCCATGGGTCCTGAGAGAGGGAGCAGAGGCGCTATGTGTACCCCTAACAACAATATTCAATACATCTATCAAAACAGGGAGACTGCCTGAGGCATGGAAGACAGCAAATGTGGTCCCAATCTTTAAAAAAGGAGACAGACATGAAGCACTAAACTACAGACCAGTGTCACTGACATGTATAGTATGCAAAATCATGGAGAAGATTATCAGGAGAAGAATGGTGGAACATCTAGAAAGGAATGATCTCATCACCAGCAGACAACATGGTTTCAGAGACGGGAAATCCTGTGTCACAAACCTACTGGAGTTCTATGACATGGTGACAGCAGTAAGACAAGAGAGAGAGGGGTGGGTGGATTGCATTTTCTTGGACTGCAAGAAGGCGTTTGACACAGTTCCACACAAGAGATTAGTGCAAAAACTGGAAGACCAAGCAGGGATAACAGGGAAGGCACTGCAATGGATCAGGGAATACTTGTCAGGAAGACAGCAGCGAGTAATGGTACGTGGCGAGGTGTCAGAGTGGGCACCTGTGACCAGCGGGGTCCCACAGGGGTCAGTCCTAGGACCAGTGCTGTTTCTGGTATTTGTGAATGACATGACGGAAGGAATAGACTCCGAGGTGTCCCTGTTTGCAGATGACGTGAAGTTGATGAGAAGAGTTCAGTCGATCGAAGACCAGGCAGAACTACAAAGGGATCTGGATAGGCTGCAGACATGGTCCAGCAACTGGCTCCTGGAGTTCAATCCCACAAGTGCAAAGTCATGAGATTGGGGAAGGGCAAAGAAGACCGCAGACGGAGCACAGTCTAGGGGCCAGAGACTACAAACATCACTCAAGAAAAAGATCTTGGGGTGAGTATAACACCAGGCACATCTCCTGAAGCGCACATCAACCAAATAACTGCTGCAGCATATGGGCGCCTGGTAAACCTCAGAACAGCATTCCGACATCTTAATAAGGAATCGTTCAGGACCCTGTACACCGTGTACGTTAGGCCCATATTGAGTATGCGGCACCAGTTTGGAACCCACACCTAGCCAAGCATGTAAAGAAACTAGAGAAAGTGCAAAGGTTTGCAACAAGACTGGTCCCAGAGTTAAGAGGTATGTCCTATGAGGAAAGGTTAAGGGAAATCAACCTGACGACACTGGAGGACAAGAGAGATAGGGGGGACATGATAACGACTTACAAAATACTGAGAGGAATTGACAAGGTGGACAAAGACAGGATGTTCCAGAGACTGGACACAGCAACAAGGGGACACAGTTGGAAGCTGAAGACACAGATGAATCAAAGGGATGTTAGGAAGTATTTCTTCAGCCACAGAGTAGTCAGGAAGTGGAATAGTTTGGGAAGCGATGTAGTGGAGGCAGAATCCATACATAGCTTTAAGCAGAGGTACGATAAAGCTCATGGTTCAGGGAGAGTGACCTAGTAGCGACCAGTGAAGAGGCGGGGCCAGGAGCTTGGACTCGACCCCTGCAACCTCAACTAGGTGAGTACAACTAGGTGAGTACACACACACACACACACACACACACACACAGAAGCCCCCTAACCCCGACAACCCCAATGCAACCAAACATTCTAACCCAAAACCCACATGCCGTGCCCAATGCCCCCACCCACTTCATTACAAACTCTACCTTCACAGCAACCCCCATAGTTAATCGTCAAGTCTCGCGCTTCCCCGACCCCAATGTACCCCATCCCCAGACCACAGTTTTAGAAAAGAATTTGAAGGTTTTGTATACAAATGTAGAAGGAATAACAAATAAATGCAAGGAGTGGCATGAAAGAATCAAGGAGACATCCCCAGACATAATAGCACTCACAGAAACGAAACTCACAGGGATGATAACAAATGCAATCTTTCCACACGGATATCAGATTCTGAGGAAAGATAGAGGGAGCAGAGGGGGAAGAGGAGTTACACTGTTCATTAAAAACCGGTGGGGATTTGAGGAAATGGATGGAATGGACGAAAGGGACTACATAGTAGGAACAATTCAGTCTGGAGGCCCTAAGGTGGTAATTGCAGTGATGTACAACCTGCCCCAGAAATGCAGGAGGCCGAGAGAAGAATACAAAGAGAGCAACAGAGCAATGGTGGACACACTAGCCGAGGTGGCCAGAAGAGCTCACATGGGTAGACCAAAGTTATGGGTGATTTCAATCACAAGGAGACTGACTGGGAAAACCTGGAGCCCCATGGAGTCTCGAAACACGGAGAGCCAAGATGATAGATGTGGTACTGGAAAATCTCATGCATCAACATGTTAGGGACACTACCAGAGAGAGAGAGAGAGGTGACCAAGAAACTTGTGAGGAACTCAACATGAGGTTTAAAGAAGTATTTACAGTGGGGACAGGAAGGACTCCAGGACGTCAGAATAGGGAGGTACACCAACAAGTGCTGGATGAAATACTTACAATCGAGGAGGAGGTGAAGAAGCTGCTATGTGAACTTGATACTTCAAAGGCGGTGGGACAGGACATCTCTCTGTGGGTCCTTAGAGAGGGAGCAGAGATGCTATGTGTGCCAATAACAAAAATCTTCAACACATCCATTGAAACTGGACAACTACCTGAGGTATGGAAGATGGCAAATGTAGTCCCAATTTTTAAGGAGACGGACACGAGGCATTAAACTACAGACTTGTGTCACTGACGTGTGTAGTATGCAGAGTCATTGATATTAACGGCAGGAGAGTGGTGGAGGACCTAGAAAGAAACAAGCTTATAAATGATCGCTGTAGGATCGCTGGCCTAGTGGTAAGGTGATGCGTACATTGTGCCGTCTGGAGGCGACACAAGGTCCGTAGGGTCGAGTCCTGGCCTGCCGCAGTTTAGTAATATATATATATATATATATATATATATTAATATATATATATATATATATATATATATTATATATATATATATATAATAATATTTGATATATGTATATTAATGTCATTATCTGCAGCGTTGAGCTCAAAGGGGTGGAAAATTAGAGCAATTAACTGGGTTGTAGGTGGCACACACGCCTACATTTTTAAATGTTAATTGGCACTTGTTAGGCGAGTGATTCATCCCTAAACACTGATCAATATTTCTCTTTTTATTGTGATCCTCACCTTGATCATGGGATTACTGGTGGTGCTGTTGTCCAGTGTTTTTATCCCCCCTTCCCAACACGAGGGGAGATTAAAACACAAAGCAAAATGGAAATAAAAGAGACAAAGGATTACAACATACATGAAGGTGTAATAATAATCTGAATTTGTCTAATATATTGTTTACATTACTCACGAAATCGTAATGAGACGATTTCAAGCAAAAATAGGGTACAGATGGGGATTGAACTCGCGGTAACTGGCTTAGGCGCTGGCCTAGAGTTTTACAGCTCACTTGCCGCGAGTTCAGTCCCCACCCGTATCATGGTTTATTATTTATATTGTTCAGTTAACACACTACGACTTTTATTCTTTTTTTAAGTGAGTTATTTTCAAGCCAGATGAAATTAAGATTATTTTAAGTGATTTTCATACGACACCTTGCAAACGCCTCTCCGTTTGTCTTTAAACGTTCGATTCTTGATTCTCTAATTTGCTAAGAGGATCCCAGAAGGTAGGCGAAATATACAGATCAATCAGCCTCCTGTGTTTGTGTCTCAATGTGGGTTATTATTGAGCACTGACAAGTCTTTAGTACACTGTAGTTATTCACTGTATTAAGACATTACCGTTTATGTCCGTGAGGTAGGCATTACTGAGCACAGTCGTGAGCAGAGTACAATTATTTCTAGAAGTAGTGACAGTAACACTGTCAACTAGACCAGTCACTGCTGTCATGGATGGTTAAACTGTGACAGTAACACTGTCAACTAGACCAGTCACTACTGTCATGGATGGTTAAACTGTGACAGTAACACTGTCAACTGGACTAGTCACTGCTGTCATGGATGGTTAAAGTGTGACAGTAACACTGTCAACTAGACCAGTCACTGCTGTCATGGATGGTTAAAGTGTGACAGTAACACTGTCAACTAGACCAGTCACTGCTGTCATGGATGGTTAAAGTGTGACAGTAACACTGTCAACTGGACCAGTCACTGCTGTCATGGATGGTTAAAGTGTGACAGTAACACTGTCAACTGGACTAGTCACTGCTGTCGTGGATGGTTAAAGTGTGACAGTAACACTGTCAACTGGACCAGTCACTGCTGTCATGGATGGTTAAAGTGTGACAGTAACACTGTCAACTGGACCAGTCACTGCTGTCATGGATGGTTAAAGTGTGACAGTAACACTGTCAACTGGACTAGTCACTGCTGTCATGGATGGTTAAAGTGTGACAGTAACACTGTCAACTGGACTAGTCACTGCTGTCATGGATGGTTAAAGTGTGACAGTAACACTGTCAACTGGACTAGTCACTGCTGTCATGGATGGTTAAAGTGTGACAGTAACACTGTCAACTGGACTAGTCACTGCTGTCATGGATGGTTAAAGTGTGACAGTAACACTGTCAACTGGACCAGTCACTGCTGTCATGGATGGTTAAAGTGTGACAGTAACACTGTCAACTGGACTAGTCACTGCTGTCATGGATGGTTAAAGTGTGACAGTAACACTGTCAACTGGACTAGTCACTGCTGTCATGGATGGTTAAAGTGTGACAGTAACACTGTCAACTAGACCAGTCACTGCTGTCATGGATGGTTAAAGTGTGACAGTAACACTGTCAACTAGACCAGTCACTGCTGTCATGGATGGTTAAAGTGTGACAGTAACACTGTCAACTGGACCAGTCACTGCACACAATCACTGTACAATAGCATACAACCCTCCAGCCAGAGACTATCCCATTCACCTGACCATTAATCTTATCACCAGAGCAGCGGGAAGTTAACACCAGGTGGAGGAGGAGGAGCAGCAGCATGGGG